CTACATATATTACAGTTTTCTTGGCCCTCCTTTCTCTTGCAAAGGCCTTAGACTTCTCCAGCTGCAGTTTCCTCTCTCTGGCTGTGGCTCCTTCAGGGTACGGGCAGCCCCGCCTCTGTCAGTCTGCCCCAGGGCAGCTGTGGCTACAATGTACTGTAGCTTACTGCCATCAGTGTGTGAATGTGAGTGTGAATGAATGATGCATGAAAATTGTAAAGCGTCTTTGAAGGTCTCGAAAAGCGTTAAATCTATATATATAAATATAAAAGCTGCATTCTCAACATGTCTAACTAGCCCAAATCATAGCCACGTTAATAAGCTTTGTGACAAACCAAACTGTTTGTAAATCCGTCAAGATTTCAGCGAGAAAAGCGTATTTTTGTTTGTGTAAATCACTCACCTCAATACAGTTCCCACAGCTACAGCTAGTGTTGCAAACTGTACCAAGATGGCCGCCGTGTGATGATGCCTGTGACTCCGCCTCAGCTTATCTAGCCTTTATAAATCTGTGCAAGAAGACATCTGTACTGTGACGTTACTGTCAGATGATCCTATGGACTTTTCCTCCTGAAGCATAAACTTTCCAAAGAAATAGTGCTCTCATTATATTTTAGATTCAGTATGGATTCCAGTTCATTCAAAAAAAAACATTTCCTGCTTTAGTCATCAGAGTTTAAGACCTACATTGTGTATGATACGCCTCAAAACGTATTTGTTACTTTGTGTAGCTTCAAAGAAAAYGCTGCTCGGTGCTTAGATTTACCTGCGTTGCATCAAACAAGTATTGCGATGGAGCAGGAACAACAAAAGTATCAACTCATTGCACGGCAGCTTCTTATCAGGGTTTAATTAGTGTAACCTGGTCCAAGGTTGCCACTCAGCTGAGCTTTGATGCCTGCTTTTATGAGCCTTTTGATTATTTATGATAATAATTGGGTTGAAATGATCAGCAGCACATTTATTGAAGGGCTTAATTGTAAGCACACTGAGAGCCCACTGGGATCTGTTTTAAATAATATGAGTTGAGAGCAAGTGCCCTCTGGCCTCCTGTGGCTCTTTAATGTCTGTCAGTGTCGTAAAATCCCCTTCGCTCCTTATTGGTTATGGTACTTGTACTTTTGTAATTTGTGAAAATGGACTCTGTTCAACTGTGGTGCTTCAAAATAGACTGACAGCTAAATCCCTAACTAATAACGGCTGGTATTAGCTGTCGCCAACCGTCCCTCAGCTCCACTTTGACCTGGGACCTGAGCCATGGTGCTGCATAATCAACACCTTTAGAAAGCTCTCACTGCTCTGTAATCACAATCAGCCCTCCTCTACTCACATGTCAGCTCCCATTCCCCTCAAACCCGCCTCCTTATTAGAGACGGAGTGGGCTGTGATTTCGCTGTTTACTGCCAGGCAGCCTGCCGTGCAACAGGGCGCAGAGGAGACACAACACTGAGAAATAGTCTGCGAGGGATTGTGTGTGTGCATATGTTTGTTTACAGCCCTCTCTACCTCAGCCGCGAACACAGAACGGTGAGGCAAAGCAACAAGCTGGCATGTCGGAGGAAGTTCTGAGTCCGTGAAGACGAAAACGCCGCTCAACAGTTTGGGCGCATGTTCAGACTCCATCTTTTTTTCTTTTTACATCTGTTTTWATGCACATGTCTGTGTGTCTGGTAGCAAAATATTTCCTGAAACATTGACAGGATTGGCCACTACAGCTAATCAGCGTTAACAAACTCTAACTTAGCCAGATGTACAGATACTGAGCTGAAGTTTGATGTGGTGGTCATCAGCAAGATATACTTCCAGTATTTCATCATGTTGGATGAGATCACAGGGACGTTTAATAAACTTGGCACAAAAAAATAAGGAAATTAGTGTTCGGTAAATTATTTAAATGCTCCTTGACAATAAATCTTATACCGTTGGAAAGCCTGTTAAATTATTTTTAAATGGTGCCACATTTGTAAGGAACATCCATTTGTGGAAGCTGAGTATGTGGGAGTCATTTGCCAAATCTTCTCTGCCAAACAGCTTATTTTGCTGTTGTTGACACTTGTTTTGAGCTTCTGGCAGTGGTGGGACCAAATCATTGTTTTGCAAGTCTCAAGTAAGTCTCAAATCTTTATCCTCAAGTCCAGAGTCAAGTCTCAAGTCAAGACAGTCAACTGTCAAGTCCTAAGTCTGAAACTTGGAATTTCAAGCCCTTTTTTTAAACAATGTTGCAGTTATATGTTAAATGTAAATAATAGGCTATTTGTCTCTACTTTTAAAGGGGCAATATCATATAAAATCAACTTTTTTGAGTTTTATATCATGTTATAATGTTATACTCTCATAAAAAACA